GCCGCCCCGGGCGACAGGAAGCGGCCGAGCCGGTCCCGCTTCATGGCGGCTGCGCGGGCTAGACCCGACTCTGCCCGCTCGGCGCCCCGCGCACGGCGCGCGTCCCCGCTTCAGCTCGCCTCGGCCCGCTCGCTCGGTGTCCCTCGGCTCCGCTCGGCCTTTACGGCCCCGCCCGGCCCAGCTCAGCCCGCTCAGTACAGTGTCGCTCGGCCCTGCTCGGCGCGCCAGCACGGTGTGTCTCGGCTCTACTCGACCCCGCTCGGCTCGGCTCGACCCCGCTCGTTCGGCTCGGCCCCGCTCGGCTCCGCTCGGCCCTTCTCGGCTCCGCTCGGTCCCACTCGGGTAAGTTCGGCTCGGCTTGGGTACGCTCGGCCACACTCGGGCCAGCACAGATTGGTTGTAGTGGGGAGGGCCGGGGACGGGGCTGGGGGCGGGTCGGGGGCGGACCCGGGGAGGAACTGAGTGAGGAGGGCGGGATATTGTGAGACAGGTGGTACGAGACGAAGAAGGCGAGGCGGGGCGAGGGGGCGGGACAGTGGGCGTGGAGCGGCGAGGGCGGATGTGCGCCGAAGAGCTGGGGGCCCGGGGGCGGAGCTCGCGCGGGCCAGGGTCCAAGACCGAGAACCTGTGTCGCCCTGAAGGCGTCCTGTTGATCCGGCTCAGGTAGCTTCCTGCCCCATCTGCGAAAAGAACAGTGCCTACCACTAACGCTTGGAGAGCACTGGCCTCGGGCCAGAACGCTATGCTGAGCCCTTCTCGCGCGGCGGCTCATTTAAGCCTCGTGACAATGCCACGAGGGAGAGCAAACCCGTTCTTACTCCGGTTTACCGGAGGGAAACGAGGCGCGGCGGGCGGACGCCATGCCCCGAGAGCCAACGCGCAGAGGTGGCAGGTTCTGCTTGGCTCACCAGCACGGTGCCTTTCGGCACTGGAGGAGTTTTCAGAGCATTTAGCCGTGGTGCTTTAAGTAGAATTTCCGCTGGTTGTTTTTTGTTTTTTGGCAATTTGTTTATTCAAGTATACATACAGAAAATACTCAAAGTCATAAGTGCAACTGGCGGGATTGTCGAGTTAAAGAAGCCTTGGACTGGAGCGGCGGCGCGGGCGCTCAGGACAGCTACCTGGGGACGTAGTCATCACTAATCCCTTTCCCAGCATGAAGAGAACTGAGTTGTAAGGGGAAGCCTGCGACCCAGAGACCGCTCTCCGCCGCGGGCACGGCCTCCACCACCGCCGCCTCCGCCCCTTCCGCCCGTCGTAGACCAGCGCCGGTGTCTCCCGGAAGTGCCGGGACCAATGGACGGCCTCTTCCGGCGGTCCGTGGCTCGGGCGCTTCGGTGACGGCGCAGGCAACGTTCCGGGTTCCCGGCCGCCAGCCCCGCCCCTCGGCCACCGCCTCCCCCGCCCGGCGCCATGGCCGCTGCGGCCGGGGACGGCGCGGTGAAGCCGCTGCAGAGCGCTATGAAGCTGGCCAACGGGGCCATCGAGCTGGACAGCGGCAACCGACCTCGGGTGAGGAGAGGCGGGGGCGGAACCGGACGGAGGGCGGCCTAGAGGCGCTGGGATAGATCGGTCGCGGCGGCGGCCGGGAGGGACCCCGACCAGCCGCAAGCCGGGTGGGCGAGGGCGGGGTGGGCCCGGCGGCGGGTCGCGCTCGGCCCTGCCGGGACTCGGGCACCTGGGGGCGCACACGAGTATAGCAGGGAAAGATGGCTGGGCCAGGCTGCGCTCAGGTCTCGCTCTTCTGTGCGACCTTGGACAGCTCACAGCCCTCTTGAGGCCTCAATATTATCCAATGAGGTGGGGCACCAAAGCTGAGGTCTTGTCTGCAGTATCTGTGGACTAACCCCCACAATTTCGTGTGTGTGCATCCTTTTCTTGGCAGTTTGTGGACTTAATCAGATTCCCAAAGGGGACCGAGTCCAGGAAAGGTTAACTGCCAGCCCAGTAGTGCTGCTCTGGCTACTCTATTTCCAGCCACCTTCAGGGCCTGTTTGGAAGGAAATACCCGGGAGGGGGTGGGGGTGGGGTGGTTAACTTGTTCATGAGATTAGGAGCTGACTGCCCGGGAGCAGAGGAGGCTGGCTGTGCGTGCCTAAGAAAAAAGCATCCCAGTTTCTGAATCCTGCTGCTTCTCCCGTGTTTCATCTAGGACATCAGGCTCCATACAGGTCAAAAACCCTGTCCAGAAACCACCCTGGTCTGATCTCTGAGGAGTAGAAGTAGATAGGTGATTTAATAAGTGGGATACAAGAAAAAAAAAAAAAAAAACCCAACATACATCATACTGTGATTCTTAGTGACTGAGCCCTGAACGGAGCAGAGGGCATTCAGCACTGGTGTTCTGACTCCTGAGTGCTCTGGGATTTTTCACCCTGAGCAGCAGGAAAGGAATTTCCCAGGAAGTGACTCGTAAGATTTACAACATCACCGTCTTTTTAACATCCCAGGAAATGCTTTTTTCAAACCTCTAAGTTATTATACAGGAAGAGGGAAGAGAATAGAAAGTGAAAAGTGAGTGCTGCAAAGGCGTCTCTGGCCCTTCTCTGCCAGAGAGAAATGCAGTGAGAGGAGGACTGGTGCCCAGCTAGTCCTGGCACTCTCTGCCTACCACAAACCTTATGGAAAGAAGTGCTTTGGCATTGTTGGCAGGTGCTGACATCTTTTCCTTGAGGTCTTGGCGAGCCAGGATGCTATCTGATTAGGCCGCTGCATGATTATCAGGCAACACTGCCGACTGGATGTCTCTGCCGTCTCAGGAGACACAGGCGCTGCTGTTTCTGTGCCCTGGGCATTGCATTTTCCTGGAAGGGCACCAGGAAGACACAATGAAGTCATTTGCCTTTATGGGCCTGACCCCACCATTTCTCTTCCCTGGACACAGGAAGCATATACAGAGTACCTGAGGAGCATCCACTACATTGCCCAGGTGCTGCTGGAAGAAGCAGAAACAACCAGAGGTATGGCTCTCAGGCTCATGGCTCTTCCCCATGCTGGGTTAGTCGTGGGAGCTTAGCCCTTGGCAGGTCCCGGGCCTGGACATCTCCTGCCAACATAGTCTCTAGCGGAAGGTGGACCAGTGGCACCCAGCAAACACCAGCTGCCATAGCGTGATGCAGGTGCCAGAAGGGATGGGTGCTACGCATGAGAGGATGGAGAGTGAGGGTGGAGTGTGCGGAGAGGGATCACAGAAGCACCCTGAGGCGGTGCACCCACTAAGGGATGGAGTGAGCCTTGCCAAAGTCTGGGGAGAGCGTTCCCAGCTGAGGGACATGCACAGGGGTGGGGCAGGTCCCGGAGGGCTCTGTGGGCCTTGGGGTGCAATTGGAGTCCTTCTGATGGAGGGAAAAGCAGAAGAGCACTTGGAGCAGTGGGCAGGAGGCCAGGTCTACGTGCTGAGAAATGAGGTGGCTCCCTCAGCACATCCTTGTTTTTGAGATGACACGGCCTGCCTCACACAGGGGAGTAGGGTGCAGGGGAAGCCCTCAGTGGGCAGTAAAGAAAGGCCAGGCTCCAAAAGTCCCCTTCCAAAGGAGGAAAAGTAAGTCAATCAGATGGTGGGCTAGTCAAGCCCAGAAGTTGCCTTAAAATCAAGAGGTAAACGCAGGGTAGCTTCCCCATGCCTTGTTTTTACTTCAGCAAGAATCTGATTAGCAATCAGTCTGAAGGAAACTGGTCTTTTTGTCTCCTGCTCCCCCAGAAATTGGGGAAACAGTGCCCCCAGAAACCTCAAAGATGTTGAAGCTGGCCGGGCAATGTTTGGAGCGAGCCCAGACAACTGCTGCCAAACTAGGTGGGTCTCCAGCAGGAGGAGGTTTCCTGAGCATCCCCACGTGTATGTCTCCTTGTGGAATGTGGGGCCACTCTACTGACCCCTGTCTACATGTGGTTTACAGGGAAACCATGTTTGAAGCCAGCCAAGCCTGTGACTGCCACGGTTCCCTCACCAGCCAGCCGACACCGCCGGGTGTATTCAGATGAAGGGGGCAAGCTCTCTCCTTTTCTACCCCCCGAGATCTTTCAGAAGCTTCAGATGGTGGAGTCGCAAAACTCTAAGAAGTAAGATGGGGTGAAGTGGGGCGTAGGCTGAGCCTGGGGATTGGGATTTGGAGACCAGGCAATGTGAGCTGACCATGGTAAATTTAGTCTAAGTAGGTCCCAGAATGTGAATACCTTTGTGCCTGGCAGAAACAAAAGCAAAGCTCCTTCCTCTTTCATAAAAATGAATGACACACAGTCTAGAATAATTAAGCACACAAGGCAACGAGAAACTGAGGGAGGTGATAGCAGAAACAGATGCAAAGTCTCTAAATGTTGGCACAATCAGATACAGATAATAGAACAATTACATTCTCCAGGGAAAAACAAACTATAAATCTGGAACAAGAAAATATAAAATCTGACCCAGGAAATAAAGAACCAAGAAGGACATCTAGAAATGAGACATGTAACTGAAGTTATTTTTTATATCTTACGATAAATAATAATAATGAAAGTATATCTCCCAATAGAAAGCCACTAAAAAGCAAAAAACTGAATGGACAAGTTTTAACGGGACAGATATAGCTGAAGAGAGAATTAGTGAATTGGTAGAAAAGTCAAAGAATGCTTCATAAAAGAGAAAAAGAAAGAAGACATGAAAGTTAGAAGGTCTAGTATAAGTTAACTAGCTCCAGAAGGAGAAGAGAAAGAAAATGAGAGTCGTTATTTTGAAGAGACAATGGCAGACGGTGTTCCAGAACTGATGAAAGACACAGATTCAAGAAGCCCAGTGAATCCCACGGAGCACAGTGGAGGAAGACATGCTTCTCTTGGTCCTGCAGTGGCCAGGCCTTGGCTCTGCAGGAGATTCCCCTGCCCGGCCCCTTATCTGCACATGCTCACTGTGGGGCAGGCCAGGCACAAGACTTCCATCCGAAGAAAGATTTTCCCTCCTCAGTCTCCTTTCCCCTTGGCCTATCCCGGATTCCCCTTGAAGGCAGGGAGACATACATAGAACTGAAAGCTTTCCCGGTCAAGTGGCTGTTGGTCACTGTCACTGAATTCACGTGGTCCTTCCTTTCATGTGATGAAAACTAATCAGCCTGGCCCCAGTGGTGCCTTTAAAGAGTTCCGTTTAGTTGCCAAACATGTATAACTAGTTTTGCATGAAATTCCAGACTTCCAGCTTCTTTTGAAAAGGGGAAGTCCCAGTAGGTAATATCAGGCCCAGTCACCCCCCAGAACTCTTCGCTAGCTCACATTTCCTCCGCTGCCCCTCCCCCCCCACCGTTCACCTCCTGGTCCCAGAACCAAGTGGGGTTGAGAGGGAGGCTCAGCGGGACACCAGCGTACTCCTAGGTTTCCTGGGGCTGAGCAGCAGATGTTACGTTTCCAGGGAGCTGACGCCCCTGGAGGAGGCCTCCCTACAGAACCAGAAGCTGAAGGCTGCCTATGAGGCCCGCGTGGCCCGTCTGGACCCCAGCCAGGCTGTGCAGAAGACGTCCCTGGTGAGTGGGCCAGGAGGGCCTGGGGATGGAGGGGCAGCTGAGGGAGGGGCGCGTGGATTCACATGTCCCTTCCCTCGCTAGACCCTGTCCCTGCAGCGCCAGATGATGGAGAACCTGGTGATCGCCAAAGCTCGGGAAGAGACAGCACCCTTTCTGTCTGTCCTTGGTGTCCTGCCGAAACATCTAAAGTGCAGCCTTGGAGAGGAGTGTGGGCTGCAGTAAGGGTGTGGCTTGTCGATGAGCAGAGCTTCAGAGAGGAGGTGTTCTCCCAGGGCTTCTATCCCCACCCCACTCTTGTCTGCTCATGCCCTCCTGGCCTCTGCACAGGCTTTCCCCTTCCTGGGAAGCCTTCCTGGGCACCCAAGAGGGCATACTTCCCCCTCCCAGCCACTGAGCCCCTGTGTCCAGTGCACCCTCCTTGACCTCAAGGGTACTCGGTGCACATGTGTACAGTGGATGAGGGTAAGGGGCTATCGGCCAGTGACAGCTCCTTGACTCTTGTCCAGCTCCAGAGGAAGATGGAAGAGCGCCGGCTGCGACTACAGGAGGCTGCCAACAGGTGTGTCCCCCACTCCCCATCTCCCAACAGGGGTGTCCCCCATTCATCACTGTTTCACAACAAGTCTGTCCTACCCCTCCCATCTCCCAGCAGGTGCATCCCTTGCCCCCATCTCCCAGCAGATGTGGCCCCCACTTCTCACCATCTTCCAGCAGATGCATCCCTCACCCCTCCCATGTCCCAGCAGGTGTCCCTCCCATCCCCCCATCTCCCCATGGGCGTGGCCCCCACCACATTTTCTCAGGGCAGTCACAGGGTGAGTACTGGCCGCGTTGGCCCAACCCTTGCCTTTCTTGCCCCAGGAGGTTCTGCAGCCAGGTCGCCTTGAGCCAGGAGGAACGGGAGCAGAGGGCCCTCTATGCTGCTATCCTTGAGTACGAGCAGGACCATGTGAGTCCCGCACAGCTTGGAGAGGGCAGGGTACACCCAGGAGTCCCGCAGACCTGCCGTAGTTGAGACCCACCAGGAGGCTTGAGGCTTGCCCGCACCCCAAGAAATGTGTCCACAGTGAGGTGGGGCATCCTTCCATGGGCGCTGTGCACTGCCCAGCCCTTTGTCCTGCAGGACTGGCCAAAGCTCTGGAGGGCCAAGCTCAAGAGGAGCCCCGGGGACCTGTCGCTGGTGACCAGCCTGGTCTCTCACCTCCTCAGGTACCAGGGCCCCAGGCACTCCCCTGATATGGCTGCAAAGCCCCCACCCACTGCTTTTAGGGGACTGGGGAGAGCGAGTAGTGGAAGTCCCAGGCCGCACGCCTGTCCGCACAGGACAGAGGGAGTGGGGCAGCTGAGTGCGCAACATTTACCAACAGGAAGTAAGACAGGACTTCTCACCACAGCTTCCTAGTGTGGCAGCTGCGCAGAGGGGTGGTGTCTCCGATGCGGGCTGGGGCTCAGGCCAGGGACCCCACAGGGCTGGGACAGCAAGCTGGCTCTCCCGCCCTCCGCCCTGCGCTGCCTGGGACCTACAGCAGCTTGCCAGCCTGTGCCTCCCCCGCAGCCTTCCCGACCACCCCATCTCACAGCTCCTGCGGAAGCTCCAGAGTACCGTCTATGGCACGCTGTACCCCGTAGTGAGCAGGGCTGCGCTCGGTGCCGCACCCACCCCCAGCTGCTGCTCGGCCCCCTCGGACTTTGACCGGCCAGTGGCCCCTGGGAGCCGGCGGCTCCGTGCCTCCCGGAGCCTCCACTGTGTGCTGTGCCCCCCGGAGCCCACTCCGCGGCCACAGGACTGGCCCCCCGAAAGAGGGACAGATGGCAGCCCTGGGGGGCCTCCCTCACCCCTGGCAGATACTACGTCCTGTCTGCGGGACAAGGATAATTCCTTCGAGGACCTAGAACAGTTCTTGGCTACGTCAGAGCGGTGGGGCCTAGGCCCTGGGGGGCAGGCCGAGCAGCAGAATCCCGGAGCTAAGAGGGAGCCGTTACTGGAGCAGCTGAAGGCCACCGTGAAGGACATCCACGACGCCATTGGTGCGGGGAATACGGGGAGCAGGACCGGGGCCGGGGCTGGTGCCTGGACTTCCTGGGTCTCGCTCACCAGCCAGGAAGCAAGTGGGGTGCTCATCCTGGGCCCTGGGATGAAGGGCTCTCTGCCCTGACCTGTGGAGCCCCCAATGCATGCCCCACGGCGCAGCATGTTCCTTGGGCCCTTGGGAATATATGGGGTAGAGCTGGACTCAGTGGTCGACCCCTAAAGGTCAGACTCAGTAGCAGGCGATCCAGGGATGAAGGGCTCCACAGTTTTGAGAGGCCCTCAGTCAGGCATTGTCAGAATGCCCACGCTCCAAGGGGTTGGGTAGGACCCCCACTGAGTAGCTTCACAGCCCTTGCTGCAGTCCCAGGGGCAGACCTTTCTGTACAGCCAGCCCGCCCTCCCCATCTCCAGGCCACAGGGGTGCAGGAAGACCAAGGGGCAGAGGGTGCTGAGGACCAGGCTGAGCCCCTTCCCCATGGGGCCAGCCAGAGGGGACAGACCCAGGCCTGGGAGGAGGGCATTTCCACGCTGCTGATGTTGAACCTCCAGAGAGGTGGCGGTGTGTCTAGGGCCGCAGGCAGCTCGGGTGAGGTGCCGGGGACCACTGGGACATTGGTGCCCAGCCCCGCCATCCCCAAAGCCACATCTGCCTGGCTCTGCTCTGCAGACAGGCTACTCTCACTGACCCTTCTGGCCTTCGAGGGCCTGAACACGACCGCCAACAAGGACCGCTGCCTGGCATGTATGGAGGAAGCCTTCTTCACCCCGCTGTGGGCCCCGCTGCTGGCCCTGTACAGGTGGGCCCTGCCAGCAGCCCTACACTGGTCTCTCCCAGCCCACAGTCTCCTTCATCACAGGGCATCCTTGCCGGGGACTGCAGCGTCTCCTGTGTTTGCAGTGGCACCCCCTCCCACCATGATGGGTCCATTTGTTAGGGTCGCACCAGCTGCTTCCTCAGCTGCCCTGGCAACTGTGCCCTCCATCCCAGGGCTGGAGCCGCAGGCTGGGGCCCGGGGGCTGAGCTGGCCCTCTGTGTGCCCCAGGAACGTGCACCGAGCCCGCGAGGCAGCCCTGAGCAAGAGCATGGAGATCTATAGGAACGCGGCCCCCACAGCCCTTGGCATCCCTGCCAAGCTCGTCCCCCAGAACACTGAGAGCCAGGCAGCAGGTGCCTTCCCCTACCGTGCTGCAGTCCAGGAGCTCGGCCTGCTTGTCCTGGAGAGCTGCCCCCAGAAGAAGCTGGAGTGTATCGGTAAGGGCAGGTGCTTCCCAAGGTGACCTGGGCCTCAGCTCTCTAAGCTGCGACCCTCCTCCTCTTGTCAAACGTGTGTGGTGGGGACTACCCACCGGAATGAGAAGGGTAACAGTGGTACCCATGTGGGGATCTCCCGTCACACCCCCACCCAGTGGTCCGAGCAGCCCATCTGGCCCTCCCTGCTGGGTCCTCCTTGCACCCCTGCCCCAGCCTCCTGCCCCAGTTCTCCCCCACAGCCCGTGTCTGTGCCTGCAGTGCGAGCCCTGCGGGTCATCTGTGCGTGTGCGGAGGACTGCTGCCGGGCCCAGGAGGCCAGGCCCCTGCCGGGCATTGCCGCCATGTGAGTGAAGGGGGTGAGGACCCTGCTTCTCCTGACAGCTTCACAGAGCTCCCTTCCCCCCACCCTGTCCCCAGAGTCCAAGCTCAGATAGGGCAGTGGCAGGGACTCTAGCAGGACTGGTGCTGCTCCTCTGGGCAGGGTTGGGTCAGTGCCTCTCAGCCCACTGCCCCAGGCAAATCTGGCAAAGTTCAGGGTCTCTTTTCTCAGAACTTTGTCAGACCCTCAGGTGGGCACAGCAGTGGGAGCGGGTAACAAAGACCCCTTGCACCACCAACCCCCCAGGTCTGCTGCCTGGGGCTCTTTATCTCCCACACTCTTCCCAGAGGCTATGACATGGTGCCACAGGCCAGGGTCTGGCGTCCCGGCAGGGGTCACTTCACTTACCCGGCAACGGTCCAGCTGCACTCCCCAGCTGAGTGGCCCTGGCCCCCAGCCTCCTGCCCAGACCGGTGTGTGAGGCGGCAGCCCTCCTCTCCTCCCCCTGCCAGGCGGGTACCTTCTAACAGCCTCAGCTCCACCCCTGGGATAGCAGCCTGTCTTCACAGGGCTGCTGTGAGGGTCACAGGGGTTGCAGACAAGGGGCATTAGGGAGGGGTGTCACTGGGAGCTCCTGCAGCTGCGGCTGTGTCTGGCAGTGGCGCCGATGACCTGCTGCCCATCCTGTCCTTTGTGGTGCTGAGGAGTGGCCTCCCCCAGCTGGTATCCGAGTGTGCAGCACTGGAGGAATTCATCCATGAGGGGTAGGAGCCCAGGGTGGGACATTGGGGGCGGGATGCCGGAGTGCCGTGCAGGACAGCCTTGCCCGCCTGCTCCCCGAGACCTAAACCAGGCACTGACCTCGTCCTGCCACACCTCTCCCTCAGTGCTCTCTGCACAGCATCAAGGGGAGTGGGCTCCTGGGGAGGAGGGGAGCGTTGTCCCGGTAAGGACTCTGGGGGTTCACTTCAGTCGTGCCCCTTGCGACTGTGGGGCACATACCTTGCCCCGGGAGCCACAGCAGTGTCGGTGGACAGAGAGCAGTGCTGGGATGGCCTCGAGGGCTGCTCCATGAGCGCATACCCCGATTGGCCCCTTGCAGGTACCTGATTGGAGAGGAGGGCTACTGCCTGACCTCACTGCAGAGTGCCTTGAGCTACGTGGAGCTGCTGCCCCAGGGAGCCCTGGGCAAGTAGCTGGCCGAACTCCAGGCCCCGCCACTCTGTGCTTGTGCCACCCTTCCTGGGAGCCTCCACGCTGCAGGGGGCAGGGGGCAGGTGATTGTGGTGGGCTCTCCAGTCCCTCCCTTTCCCTGGCCCGACACCTGCCCCAGGCTCCACTCATGGAGTGATGGGGCCCAGGAGCTCCCCCACACCAGGCCCTTGTCCCTCATGCCCTGGCTCTGAGAAATTAATGGAGGACCCTGGAGCCACCTGGGGTCCACCTGCACCACTACGAATACCAGGCCAGGCCTGGGCTGGACCTGACATGCCCCTGGGGTGGCACACACTGCTGGCTATCAGGGCAGAAAAGGGGCTCTCCCATCTTCTCTGTGACAGTCACCACTCCCCTGAGCCAGTTTCCTGTTGGAACCAAGAACCAGAGCCTTTGTAGCAGCTCAGAAGCTGGGCCTTGAGGCCCCTGAGACTGACCTGTTTATTGGGTGCTGACTCTACTCCCCTGAGGCAGGGTTTCCATTCCTGTCCTGGGGCTTGACGCTCACACCCACCCTGGCCAGGACAGCCAGGCCTAGGCTCACCCACAAGTACCACACGCATACCCCACCTGGGTCTGCATGAGCCAGTGTCCGAGTGAGCCCAAGTGTCCTCTCTGATGTGCTCCCTGTGTGCTGGGCAGGGGGCACTGACCTGGCCAAGAATAAAGAGGTCACTAGCTGTTGTCACCCTGCCTAGCTCTTTCCATCCCACCCAGTACCCTTGGCAGGCCAGGCAGGCACAGCCATCCTAATGCTAACCACTTCACAGGCAGAAAGGCAGCCTGGGCTGGGGAGTCTTGTGCCTGCCTGGCCTCCCTTACCCTCCACACTGAAGAGGTTCCTGGGAAAAGTGATCTGGGGGCCTGAGACACACCTCCCCCTCCCCCTGCCACCCCTGGCAGTGAGTTGAGTAAGGATGGGGTGAGGTTATAGGTCTCCGGTGGGCAGGACTGAGGGGCCCAGAGCACTGTCCTGGACGGGCTTTCAGGAGTCATCGTCCTGCAGATGGGAAACAGGCCCAGAGGGCATCCACTTGGGATGGGGAACCAAGAGCGCAGCTCCAGCCTGTCTGCGTCAGCTGGGCACCCTTCAGTCTTGAGAGTGGTGGCACGTGGTCATCTGGAGAGGAGAAAGCAGCGCCTTTGGAGCACTGACATATTGAGGGCAGCATCTGGGGGCAGGACGTGGCAGGGCACTGAGGGAGGGTCCCACACCAGACCCTGGGTGGTGGGGGCAGTGTGCTGGTCCCCTTGGGGAGAGGGGCTGACAGAGGATACCAGGAGTCGGCGGTTGTTGGACGCTCTGGAGTAGCTCTGTTGCCAATTCTCCAAGTAGTAACTCACTTAGGACTTACAAGAACCCTGGTGGGTGGCAGGAGGCAGAAAGTCTGGCCTTGTAAGTGGTGCAGTTGGTGACACGGCTCATGACCCCGCACAGACGCCCACGTCCGTGGGGCAATTGGCCATGAGCAGGGGCCTCGGGTGGGTCGAGCCAGGCACCCTTCTGGCAGAACTCTTCTCAGTATCCCAGCTGCCCAGCGAGGTCCAGGAACGACAGGCTGGCACTGCCCTCCCTGCTGTGCACTCTTCATAACCTTCCGACCTCGTAACTACGGGATGCATGTATGATCCCTGCACGGCTCCACTGGCAGCCAGTAGGCCCTTGGACCAATCACCGTTTGGCGCGTTGAGGCTCTCACACTCGTAGCAGGCCCCGCCCTACGTCCTGCCCCAGCCAATCATTGTTCGGCGTGCCGTGCGCTGCGACGCGGGTTCAGGTAGCGGAACTGGTGCATCGCGCAGGTGCCGAGAGGCGGAGCTGCTGCGCTCCTCCCGACGTCAGCGGGCTCCGCCTCGCGGCGCGGGAACTCCCGCGGCCCGGCTGCTCCACACACACGCCCGACTCGAGCCCCGCCCCCAACGTCACGGTTACTGGGCGGGCCCGAGCCCTGGCGGAAGTGCCCCGCTGGGGGCACGGCGAGGCTGAGCGGCGGCCGCTCGCGGATCACTGGGGACCGACAGGTAGCACCTCTGCCCGCGGGGCCTCAGCGTGGCCGAGTAAGCCACGTTCACTCTGTGCTCGGCAGGGGTCTGCTCGGCACGGAGGGCCAGGACTTCTTGACTGGGGGGCGCTGCCCAGCAGAGGGGAGCGCTCAGCTTGCGGGGGCAAGGTCTGCAGCCTTGGGGGTTGTGGGTACCCGGAGCGCTCAGCCGGCAGGGCGCCGGTGCGGGTGGTTCTTACCTAGAAGGGGACCCCCTCCGTTCATCCCGGGAGGTCCCGGGTCGGGGTTTCCAAGCTGGAGGAAACACACTGAGTACACACGAGCGTAGGGGGCTGAAAAGGGCTTACAGCCGACGGAGCGCGGTCGCCGGCCCCTGACGCCTCCCCGCCCCCCACCCCAGGATGGGCAGCACTTCGCTGTCGGAGGACTATCGCCTGTGCCTGGAGCGCGAGCTGCGGCGCGGGCGCGCGGGCGTATGCGGAGATCCCTCGCTGCGTGCCGTGCTCTGGCAGATCCTGGTGGAGGACTTCGACCTGCACGGGGCGCTGCAGGACGACGCGCTGGCGCTGCTCACCGACGGCCTGTGGGGCCGCGCCGACCTGGCGCCCGCGCTGCGCGGACTGGCGCGCGCCTTCGAGCTGCTGGAGCTCGCTGCCGTGCACCTGTACCTGCTGCCCTGGAGGAAGGAGTTCACCACCATCAAGGTAGGGCATCCGGCGATGGATGTAAGCTCAAGCGGGCTTCGGAGGACTCAGAGTGCCCAGGGACTGTGGGGGCGCGTTAAAGCAGCGCCCCGCCTAGACGCTGTGGGCATTCCCAGGACTGGGAGCATGGGCTGGGCGGAGAGCAACCTTAAAACGTGCATGTGTTCTCCCCAATGTGGTCTCACGGCCCTGGTTGTCATACACATCCTCGGACAGGCACGGGGAGGAACTTGGGGTCACCCTAATCCCAATCGGAAACGGTCTGACCCCATTTTCCGAGGGGAAGACTGAGCTGAGGGGAGAACATGTGGTGGGGAGCAGTCTCTATGAGACGGACAGGAGCTGCAGGGCCCCTTGCCTGTGGGTGTAGCTTCCCGGGACGGCAGAAGCGGGCAGGGCTGGTCTGCACTCTGAGCAAATTCCGAGGGGAAGGAAGGTGACGTCACCGCGCTACCCGTGCACGTGGGCGAGGTTCGCCTCCACCAGTTGCCATGGCAACGGCACCCTCTCTCTGGAGGTGAAAGCTGAAGCAGGGACACCTGCTGGCCCTAAGTTCTGAGATTTCATTCATTCAGACGAGCATAATGGACCTCGAGCAGCACCAGCCCCTCCTAAGCAATGGGGTTGTGGAGCCAAGCAGATCGGTATGCCCTTGAGGGCTCACTGCCTGGGAGGCAGACAGGTGGGAGGGGCTTTGGTGCTGGGCAGATCCTGACAGCTCCTGGTCCTTCTGTATGGCTTTAGGCAAATTACTCATCCTCTGAACATGTATCCTTCTCTGAGATGGCCTGGACCTGTGGGCAGGGGGGCTGCTGGTAACCAGCCCCTCCTTTGCAGACCTTCTCTGGGGGCTACGTGCACGTGCTGAAGGGTGCACTCTCTGAGGACCTCCTCACCAGAAGCTTCCAGAAGATGGGCTACGCACGCAGGGACAACCACCGGCTCACAGTGACAGCGCCGCCTCCTGCGTGCCAGCTGGTGCAGGTGGCCTTGGGCTGCTTTGCGCTGCGCCTGGAGTGTGAGATCATGGACGAAGTGCTGACCCAGCTGGGCACCAGCCTGCTACCAGCCGAGGCATTGCTGGCGGCAAGGCGGGCCAGTGGGGACGTGGCCTCCTGTGTGGCCTGGCTGCAGCAGCGACTGGCCCAAGCCGAGGACCCTCCACCACCTCTGCCCCCCCGCAGCTCACCGGCAGCACTCAGGTGTGCGTTGGACTTGTACCGGGACCTGGGGGAGGAGGAGGGTTCGGAAGAGGAAGCCAGCCTATATGGGGGCTCCTTGCCAGGCACTGTCTCACCACCTCCAGAGCCTGCCTTTGAGGAGCCACTCTGGGAGCAGAGTGCACAGGTGTGGGGTGTGGGGGGCCCAGCCTGGGAAGCCCCTGCAGACAGCCCACCCTACAGCACCTTCGAGGAGGAGCCAGAGCCAGCTCCCTTCTCCTTCCTCTCGCTGCGCCAAGAGCTGGGCCAACCTTCAGATTTGGCCGGCCCAGAGGGCTTCCCAGAGCACAGCTGCCTGCAGCCTGGTGCTCCAGCATTTGGTGAGCCCCTGAGGCACACATGGCTGGCTCGCTCTCGAGTGGATGCCCTGGCTGGTGCCCCAAGGGCCGGGTCATAGCCCAGCAGTAGTGATCACGGAGCTCTGGGAGCTGCTGGACCTACCTGGTGCTTTTCTGGGTGCTGCACACGCCCACGCCCACCCCACATTGCATTCCAGGCAGAACAGGTGCCCCACAGCAGTCTGGGGCAGTAGCAGGCCCTAGTGGGCCAGCAAGCAGCTTATTCTCGGCACCCAGACCTGTGCATGCTGGGCAGAGACCATCTGTTCCCTCCTCTCTCGCCCCTGTCCCCCCTGCTTTGCATGGCATTTCCACGTCCCTGTCTCTAGAATTCCGTTTCTCTGTAGCTCGAGGTTCTGGGTGCTGCCTTCCTCCAGGTATCCATGTTGGATAGTGGTCTCTTGGCTCTGAAGCTGGAGGGCCTCACCACCTACCTCATCCTGGTACCCACACAGAGAAGGGTGGACATGAGGCTGCGGGAGGGAGGAAGTGAAGTGCACCCCGGCCCCTGGACTGGCCCCCAGGACCTCCCTGAGAGGCTGTGCAGTGGTACAGCAGCATGCAGGCTACAGCCCTTTGGGGCAGTGAACTGGCTTCAGGGAGTAGGGCAGGTGCCTGTCCTCATGGGCCCTGACCTGCATCCCCTCCCCACCCAGCGCTCCATCATCTCTTCCTCCCAGTACTCAGGATGACCCACAGCTATCACGTGAATGTGAACCTCAAGTACATTAAATGAGTGACACTGCACCTGGTATGAATACTTTATCTCTGAGCCTCTTGGGAACAAGGGCTCGATGTCTTTGCAAAACCTGGCATTTTATCCTGTTACGCCCCAGACCCTGCCCAGTGTCTTCCTACCCCAGGGGTCCCAGGGTCTCTTCCTGCCCCAGGAGGTAGTGTGACCACGGCCACAGGAACAGTCTCCAAAGCTTGGTCCCAGGCCTCCCATGAGCCCAAGCCTCTGATGTGTGTACACTGGCACTACCACCAGGGGCATGGCTGCCCGAGGCCACCACCACAGCACAGCAGGCAGCTGCAGGCTATCCAGCTGGGTGCCACCACTGCAAACCCCAGGGCCTTCCCCAAGGCTGAGGGTGCCCTCTGTCCATTTAGACCATCACACTCGGAGATGCTGCTGGTTTCTGACGCATCAAGGCCTGGTGCGCTTGCTCGGACCCTCGGCAGCAGGGGCGGCCCGCTTGTTGCGATGGTGGGGGAAGGTGGGCATGAGTTCTGGCTCGCAGGCTGTGGGGAAAGGCCTGCTCAGAGCCTGGGGATGCTGTATCCCCCTGACCGCAGAGCGTCTGTCTGCCCAGGGGCCCCATACCTCACCTGGACCAAACATGAACTGGGGGCTGCCTGACTGCACTTTGGGAGCATGGATTACTTGTGTAGTTAATTGGTGTTGTCATAACACCACCAGCCCCCTTCCCCATAAAGAGGGCCACAGGCTGGGGGCTGTGCTGGGCAAAAGGGCACTCACGCAGGGGCTTTTCCTTGAAGTAGGAGCTCTCCAGGCAGTCCCCAGCAGTCGCCCTGGGGAGGCAGGTATCAGTGTGGGGCTCATTTTCCTCACACCCTTGCCCACCTCCGAACCGTCTGGCTCTTAGCCCCAGGGAGAGCAGGGCCGAGACCAAATTCCCCAGCAGTGAAAGGTGACAAGCCCACAGGGCTGGGTGCGGGGTGTGGGAGTGGTGGGGAGACGTGTTGGCGTTGAGGATTTGGTGTGAGGGACCACAAGGGCCCGGCCGAGGGAGCTGCCCAGCCTGTGCCTCGTGGCACCCCAGCTGGCCAGGGTCCGCACCTTTTCTTGGGGTCATACATGAAGAGGAAGTTGAGCAGGCGCAGCCCGGCCTCCGACAGCCAGGGGAACTTGTGCTTGAGGTTGTTGTAAGGCTGCTTCCTCAGGCTGTACTGGCCGGCCAGTGGCAGCTTTGAGAAGCCCTGCGGGGAGGCGGGGGCTGATGGCAGGCCAGGTGGCAGGTGACCCAGGTGGGGGGGGAGGGGTGGCGGGCCGGCCCTGGCACCCACCGGCCAGATGTTCTCGCTGGGTGTCCCCAGCAACTGCACAATGAGGTCTATCTGGTGGATCTCCGACGAGCCCGGGAGAAGCGGCTTGTGAGCCAGCAGCTCAGCCAGGATGCAGCCCACAGCCCTGAGCGAGGGGGACAGGGCCTCACTCCTGCAGACGCACCCCAGAGCCCTGCCCACGCACTGACCTGCCTGCCATTCCATCCCAGTCCTGGGGCCAGAGGGCACCCTTCCCTTAGGCTGTGACCTAGTGGGACCTCGGCACCAGAGACCCTGGGTAAATACTTCTACTTCCTGCCAACCTGGGAAGTTGGCGTCGAGCACAGACCCCGGCACCTGTGCCCCCGCCTCGAGGGCCCACTTCTCACCACATGTCAATACTGGTGGTCTGCGTGGGGGTTCCCAGGAGCAGCTCCGGGGCTCGGTACCTGCAGGACAGAAGGCCCCCTCGGGTCTGGCCCACCACCCCCAGCCCAGGCCTGCGAGGGCACAGTAGCCCTTTCCTGAGTTGTCAGCCCATCTGCACGTGGGAGCTGAAGGAATGCCTGTGGCCCTGATCCAAGAGCCCCTAAAACCGTAACTGAGCACTATCTACAGAGAGCCGCTGGTCTCCTGAGATGGCTCACTGCGGGGGCCAATCTGGACAGGACAGATTTGGGGGTGTGGACGGCTCAGTTGGTCCTGGGGCAGGGGGAAGCTGTCTTGCGCCCAGAGCGCCCTGAAGCTTGAAGACCCTCAGGGACCTCCTTGGAAACATCAGCCAGACAGCCCCAAGCTGCCTCCCACCAAGCACTCCCAGTAGGAACTCACCACAGGGTGACCACCTTGGGGGTCATTGGCTTCACAGGGACACCATAGGCACGGGCCAGCCCAAAGTCCGCTATGACAGAGGTGGAGAGAGTCAGAGATGACATCCAAGGCCAGAACCAGCACCAGGCTCCCTGAGTTGTGTGTGGCCATCTACGCAGCCTCACAGGAACACGGCACGTATGGCACCCACCTGTCTTCACACAGCCCTTGTCTGTCATGAGCAGGTTGGAGACCTTCAGGTCCCTGTGGGCAAGAAAGAGTGAGTGCCTGCCGAGGACGGGGCTCCCACAGTGGCAGCAGTCACACCCCCTACATACACGGGGAATCCTTGAAGGGGAGGGGTGTGTAAGGCCACTTTACCAAGGAGACTCCTGGACCTAAGACCTAAAGGCCCCCTCCGCCTCCCCTCTGTCCCCTCAGCCATCTGGCATGTGTCACAAGGCCACTAGGAGGAACCCTTTATTGTGGGACTTCTTAGAGCCAGGGCTGTACGTGGTGGGCATCATGACCCTCCTTGGGGAGACTGGTCTGCAGGGCTCTTCGAATTGATGTGGTCCTGGATCCCTTCCTCACGGGGCAGTTAGATAACCTCCCACTGCATCATGGCCACGTGACCCCTCTGGTGACAGCCCAGGTCTTTCCTCTACCCACACAAGTGTCCCAGCAAGCCCCCAGCCCTCCTGTCAGACCCACCTGTGGATGACAAAGTTCCTGTGCAGGTACTGGAGGCCCCTGAGTACCTGCAGAGTAATGCACTTGACCTGTGGGGACAGGGGTCACCAGTCAGGGCCCCAGGCTGACAGCATCAGCGTCCCCATGACAGCGTCAGGAACTGCCATTTCAGTGTCTGGTCCTAGAGTAGACAGGACTCCCAGAGGCCCTGGCTTGTGAGTAGTGAGGCGGAGTGCCCCTGACCAACGCACCCTCCCCAGGTCAATGCCACTTCACTAGGCTCAGAGAGACACTGAGGGCAGCGGAAGGCACGTCCCCAGCTGCCACGCTGATGCAAATTCACTGTCAGTAGGAGCTGTGCAGCCCCCTTCTTACCCCCCAGCCCCCATCACACACCTGAGCCTCTGAGAAGGGCGTCGGCATGTTCTCCAGGAGGCTGGCCAGGTCCTGCTCACAGTAACCCATCACGAGGAAGATGCTGGAAGAGCGGTTACATGCCACCTGCCACCCACCCTGCCCCAAACGGGCAAAGGGCCTTCTAGGCTGCAGGGAGGGGGAGAAGGGGGCAGGGGGCGTCTTGTCTTGGGCACAGGGAGAGCAGGAGGCTAGGTCAGGGTGGGTTCAATGGGGGCCCTGACCCAGAGCAGAGTGAGGACCAGGCCGCGCACCTCTCCAGGTGGTTTCCCACAACCACCTCCTTCAGCTCCACGATGTTGGGGTGGCGGAGGCGCAGGAGCAGCGTGATCTCCCGCAGGCTGCTGATGGGGATCCCTGCACCACAGGGCCTCGGTGAGCAGGAAGGACCTCCACCCACACAAGTGTCCCCAAGCCCCCAGCCCTCCTGTCAGGCCTCTGAGAGGCAGCCACTGTCCCTACTGCACAGAGAAATGAGCAAGCCCAACAAAGCACCTTCAAACCTTTCTTCCTCATCAGATCAGTACTTGCTGCCCTAACCCACCTGGGATCAGGGGCCCCACCTCACGACAGCATGCAGGAGGGGAGCACAGGGCATGGGCACACAGGTGTGCTGTACCAGGTTGTGGGGGATGGCCACCTCACTGGGCCTCACTGGGCTATGCTTCACCTCACGGCACCGCACCTCACCTCACCACCCCTCACCTCACCTCACCACCCCTCACCTCACCTAACCACACCTCACCTCACCTCACCACCCCTCGCCTAACCTCACCTCACCACCCCTCACCTCACCACCCCTCGCCTCACCTCACCACCCCTCGCCTCACCTCACCACCCCTCACCTCACGTCACCACCCCTCCCCTCACCACCCCTCCCCTTACCTCATGTCACCACCCCTCCCCTCACCACCCCTTGCCTTGCCACCCATCACCTCACCTCACCACCCCTTGCCTCACCTCACCTCACCACACCTCGCCTCACCTCACCTCACCTCACCACACCTCACCTCACCGCCCCTCATCTGACCTCAGCGTGCTTTGCTTCACTGCGCATTCCATCACCTCACCTCAGTGTGCGCACAGTTGGTGGGCAGGCTGCGCCATGGAATCCCTCCCAGATGCCTTGCCC